TTGGGAATAGAGGAAGAAAGGAGGGAAAGAATTGATACTTCTGGCAAACAAATGGTTTAACATTCCTCAACTCATTTAGTTATTTCAGCAAAAGCTTTGAGGTTATGTTTTCAGATGAAGTAAATAAGGTGATATAGTATGGGATGTAGGCTCTTTAAACTCGCAGTCTGTGACCTGAAAGAGTAATGGATATAAGCCAAATAGGTCAGTTTCCAATTTGACAGAAGAAAGAATTTGTATTTAAAAAAAAAAAAAAAAAGGTGCCTGTGTGGCTCAGTCGTTAACCGTCTGCCTTCAGCTAAGGTCGTGATCCCAGGATCCTGGGATTGAGCCCTGCATCAGACTCCCTGCTTCTCCCTCTCCCACTCCCCCTGCTTGTGTTCCCTCTCTCACTGTGCCTCTCTCTATCAAATAAATAAATAAAATCTTAAAAAAAAGGCAAAATACATGCTTAGATCTAACAAAGACTTTGCTAGGAACCATAATCAGGATGATAGTTATAATACCTGGATATGAAGATCCATTGCAACCTTGAAATTTTGAGGTTTTATGGAAAAATATTTATTGGCTGAATGCCATATGGTATATACCTTTATTTTATAAGCGGTGTAGTGGTCAGGGAACAACCAAGAAATTGGAAATACACTTAAGCATTTAAGCATAAGGAACTTCATGCAGGGAATTAGTTATATAATTGATGAAGGAGTTGAAAATTCAAACTGGATGTGATGAACAAGCCTAGAAAGCAGCAAGAAAAAGAAAGGAAAAATAAAATTCTTCTAGGCTAGAGGAAGTGGTGTTGAGATCAGAAGGGTCCCTGGCAGAAGATACAATTTATTACTGAAGATTCTGCCCAAGGCTTAGAGAGAGAATGAAACAAGTAGACTACTCTCTACTCCCTCCCACCTTCCAGCATGCTGCAGTGACTCTGCTTACTTAACTAATGTGAAAGCCTTGATGATTGACCTGCAGTGAGCAGCACTCCAGTTCCAGAACAGAGAAAGGTGAGGAACAATCCTAAAGGGCAGAAGGCTCCAAACCAGAGCAGTTAGATGGATGTCATGTTACTTTTGGAATATCAGCAAAGAACAATCTTGCATTAGTAACTTATGTCTTTCTTTTTGACATAGGAAACTTTGCTATCAGAGAAGAAAGAACTTGTCCAGTTACGCAATTTTTATGTGTATTTCTTTGTGCTTAGATGGGGGAGAAAAGTAGAGAAAAGGTCTTAGTAGTCTACTTTTTCAAGTGCTGCTTGCCTCATAGTGATTTCATTATGATGAAATATGGTTTTGATATATCATCACTTTAAAATGAAATTGGTTCAGGGAGGCGAGTAAAGGTTGCATTTGTCCAGGTTACTAGGGGAATGGTGGTTTTCTTAAAGACATTTTATTAAGAAGTAATGAGTACATAACTGGAGTGCTACACTGATGCTTTCTTTTCCAGTTTGTCATTCACCTGTCTTCCTCACTTGACTTGATATGAGTTCTCTGTCTCATAATGTGCAAAAAGCTTGCAGCAAAGTAAGAATGAGTTTGTTGTGCAAAGTGGGGAAGCAAAAGAGAAAAGCAATGTGGAAAGGAATGATTTCTCAAAAGCGATATTGCGGTCTTTATTTTTTTTTTATATAAATAGGGTTTTAAAATGAGAAAGAACGCAATGCTAAGTTTAGGAAACTGTGAATGTAAAAGCATTGTAAGTCACGTTATTCATCTGTCAAAACTTTTATGGTGTCCCAACCTGAAGGTAAAGGAAATTCTCTTTGAGACAAATTGTAAAATGTAGCTATCAAAAAGTAACATATGCCTTCGGAGGTAGAGCTTCAGAAGAAAACTATATAATAATAAAAGGGGGGATATAGACTACTATTTTTTTTATTTTATTATGTTATGTTAATCACCATACATTACATCATTAGTTTTTTGATATAGTGTTCCATGATTCATTGTTTGCATATAACACCATATAACACCCAGTGCTCCATTCAGTTAGAAATGGAAGCATCAACACTAAATACAATATACTGCATGAACATTACAATGCCTCTTAAAGTATTAAGAGAGGCAAAGTGCTACACCTTGAAATATGTGGATCTCAGAAAATCTGATTTTTATATTTTGGAGTCGTAGAGAAAGTACCTGTAAATGACAATTAGGCAAATTTTTATGGAAGATAAGAAATAAATACCTCTTCTAGATTTTACTGTTCCTGAAGTTGATTTATCTCACTGAAAATGAGGAATAAGAATAAAAAAAGTAAAGTATGTGTTTTGAGGTACTTTTCGTGAATTTTTACTTTTATTCATCTGAAGATTTATTTTTCCTGTCGAATTCAATTACAGTGGTGCTAGTTTGGAAACACCGTCGATTCTATATTCTATGTATGACTTAGGAGGGAAGATGTCAGCTCATGGATCAAAGTTTATGCTGTGAGGTGCTGGATGAAGGAATTGATGGTAGACAGACTCTCTAAAAGTCTGTGATGTGCAAGTCCCTGACCTAAGTCTCATCCTAAAAGCTCTTTACCTAAAATTATCTTCCGGTGATCTCTTATGTAATAATTCTGTTTTGTTGCAACAACTCATAAATGGAAATACCTAGAACTCAGATAATGCTGTGTATTACCAGAACAGTGAAAAGTAAATTGTATTTATCAACTGATTCATTTATAGAAATGAAGAAAATGTGCAAGAGTATCAAAGGCTGTAGGTGTTTTGATGTATTAAAATATGTGCTTAATATGATACTAACTTCAAACAAGAGGGATTTCCTGAACTGATCACTGAAAATGTGCTTCCAAAAAATGTTTCAGTCTAATATAGCCAATACTTAATTGAAATATGCTGTTGGGTCAATACAAAACATTTGAATTCATACCTAATGGGTCTTTTCCTGTTATGTAAAATTTCTCACTGAATTCTCATGTTAATATGATAATCATAGCATATGACACAGGTTCTTTTTGCACTAATTGTAGCAGGAAGAGAATTTGCACATTGCATTTAACCAAACAGTTATGTTGCAAAGGAAGAATGTGCCAACTTATTTGAAATGATTTATTGATGAATTATTTGTAGGATAAAGAGTGCTCTGAGAATGAATTCCCCAGCATATCAAAGCCAAAACTCCATTACTGATGTTTGTGATATACTCAGTAAGCAAAGATTTCCCCACCAGCAATGTTACATCCATCTTTATAAACAATTTTAGACACCAGAATATAGGTATCATTCATTATATAGTCCCCTGATTGCTTTAAAGTGTTTTTAAAATACTAGTAACATGGATAGGAGCAATGTAAAATGTATTGAGATGTAGTGTTAACAAAATATACCCATAAATTTGGTGTTATCAGTTTGTTGATAAATGTGCGGCTGTCTACTTAAGGTAACCTATGTATATTTACAAACAAAGCAAGCTTGCTATAGAAACAAAAATATTATGATGCATTTGTGATTGACAGTTATTTTGAAATATTTTTCATTGATTCATAATTCCAAACATGATTTTTAAAAGATTTTTTTTTGTTTATTTAAGAGAGAGAGAGAGAAACTGCACAAGTCAGGGAGGAGCAGAGGCCTAGGAACAAGCAGACTCCGTGCTGAGCCTGAAGCCTGATGTGGGGCTCGATCTCATGACCCTGAGATCATGACCTGAGCCAAAATCAAGGGTTGAATGTTCAACCAAGTCACCCTAGTGCCCCAACATGCTGATTTTTTTAAAGAAGGATAGTAAAGATAGAAAAGAAAGGACACATAATATGAAAATGAGAGTCTAAGATGGTATTTGTTTATAATTTCTTTCAACTGATTATAAATAATAGGCAGATTTTTCAAGAAAAATAATATTTCCTAAAGGAGGAAATAATCTTTGAACTTTCAGCCTTTAAAACGATTAGTCTTCTAAAATGCAAATATCCTGAGCACTGATGAATCTAAATAGATCTCAAAAGTGTCCCAGTTTGACACAGGAACGTGTGAAAGACACAAGGAATATCTATTCAGCATAGAATTCAAACTTTTGGTGACTCTTAAGATAGTAATCCTAGTGTATTAGATATTGACTTAAGTGGTTCACAAAGCTTAGAGTACAGTCCAACCTATCAATTCTGTTTAGAGAAAATCGAGTACAAAATTCTGTACAAGATTCTTCTTATAAAGTAAGGTCAGATGGGGAGCATCAGAGGAATGTTGCAGAATGATTATGGTGCCATGGAAAAGGGAGAAAAAGAATGTTTAAATTACTAGAGAACTTAAAATTATCACTTAACATTTCCTTTCATATAAATGACAAAAGACATTCTCTAAAGCCAGGCAAATTTGACCACCAATATCAGATAAAAAATGAGAAGAATATTATCCATAGTTCAGAAAAATTTAAAAATGTCTAAATGACTCAGTGAAAATGGGATCAGATTAAGTATTGATCTTACTTTCCAACAGTACAGGAATAGGAGGTTCTTGCTCAGGAAATAAAAATGCCTAAGCATAGAATCCAATGCTGTTAAATGTGAGTAACACTCTCATGGACAATCAGTGAAGAAAATCAAATGACTTCAGGAACCATGACCATACTCTACATCAGTAGTCCTCAGATTGTGGCATGTGTCAGAATTATGTTAGATTGCCCCAACTGGCAATCTGAGCTTCTTCAGTTGGTCTGGGGTGGTAGTGTGAGAACTTGCATTCCTAACAAATTGCCAGGTGATGGCATTGCTACTAGTCTGGAAACCACAATAAGGGAGCCATTTCTCCCTGACTCATAGGAGCAGGCAGTGATATTTGCTTCACCTGGTAAAGGTGTCACTCTGACTAATATAGAAATGTAGTTGCTACACACTTCTGAAAAGAGTGTAAACTATGGAATAGACTGCTTCCTGTACTTGAATCCCTCTCTGATTTTTTACTAACTGTGACATTGGGAAAGTTACTTTAAGTTCTCAAGCTTTTTCTGTATTCATCTATTACGTGCTGATAAAAATACTCCCTACAGGCGCTCAGCGGGCGCCTGGGTGTGCGCGCAGGAAGATGGCTGAGCAGGTGCCGAAGTCTGTGCTCTTCGTGTGTCTGGGTAACATCTGTCGGTCACCCATTGCAGAAGCAGTTTTCAGAAAACTTGTAACTGATCAAAAGCTTTCAGATCATTGGAGGATAGACAGTGCAGTGACATCCACGTATGAAATAGGAAACCCTCCTGATTATCGAGGGCAGAGTTGCATGGAGAAGCATGGTATCCCCATGAATCACACTGCCCGGCAGGTTACCAAGGAAGAATTTGCCACATTTGATTATATACTGTGTATGGATGAAAGCAATCTGAGAGACTTGAATAGAAAAAGTAATCAAATTAAAAACTGCAAAGCTAAAATTGACCTACTTGGGAGCTATGATCCACAAAATCAACTCATTATTGAAGACCCCTATTATGGGAATGAGTCTGACTTTGAGACTGTTTACCAGCAGTGTGTGAGGTGCTGCAGAGCCTTCCTGGAGAAGGCCCGCTAATGTCACGCCCGTTCTCCCCACAGCCCCCGGCTGGGCCCCACAGGCTCTGCTGTGAGGCCGCAACTGTTTCTTCAGTTGACCCTCGGTTTCTTACCTTAAATAATTGTAAATGGAAATCAGTTATTGTATCTGACAGACAAATAAATAAAAATATTTCATCCAAAAAAAAAAAAAAAAAAAACCTCCCCACAACTAAGGCTACAGTTATAATTGAGATCATCTTAGCACAATGGCCAGACCAAAACTGGTATTTAATAGTCGGTATTTTCATTATTAAAGGTGGCTATATTATTATTGCTTTATAATACAATAACCCAACTAATCTTGGTCCACAGAACAAACAGAAAAATAAACATACTACTCAGAATTTCCCAGAAAATTCACAATTTCCATAGAACTTTGTTCCCATTTTCTTTCATTGCTTGTAGTTCTGCCCTCACACAGACCCCTTCCAGTTTTCAGCAGCAGGAAGAAAATATGACTTAAAGAACTTCATCTAGTGGTATCCACATTTAAAACATCAGGTAAAATATAAACAAGCAAACCAATAAAGTTTCTCACTATGTATTTTTTTCCCTACTCTCCATGAGGAATTCAAACATATACCTTTTCATAAATAAAATTACATGGAATGGAAACATCTTTTCTCTTACCTATTTGCATAAAATATTTGAATACTAAAATAAAACAGTCTTGACATCCCTTTGTTTCTCATCTTTAAAGATTAGCAGTAAAAAACAGTAGTTCCTTGCATGTACATCTAGTCAGCAATTGAAACAATAGCATCTGCCTTCGGCTCAGGTTATGATCCCAGGGTTCTGGGATCAAGCCCCACATCGGGCTCCCTGCTCGGCAGGAAGCCTGCTTCTCCCTCTCCCTCTCCCCCTGCTTGTGTTCCTGCTCTCTCTCTCTCTGTCAAATAAATAAATAAAATATTAAAAAAAAACCTCATTTAGCCTATTTTTATCTCTACTTATTCTAAAATATTCAATTTTTTGCTTCTTTTTCATCCTATTTACATACTTTAAAACTTTAATCATTCTCTTGTCAATATCAGCTTTCTTGCCCTACTTTGACTGAACTTATCCTTGAACTTCTAAACACTATTTAGAAAAAATATATATGTATATAAATATATACATAAATATATACATATTTATATACATATACATATACATTACTAAAGATTGAGAACATTAGAAATTTTGGTCTGTTAATTTAGCCACCAATATTACCCAGAAATTCTATATATCCATTGATAGTCCATGCTTTAATTTAATATAGCATAGATTGCAATATTTCTCCATTACTCTCTAGTCCTACTTCACTACCTTTATCCTAACTTTTATCAAAAAAGAAATCCCTGTGTCTCGTCACTAAACTTGCAACCCTACCTACACATTTCTTCTTCCCTTGTATTACAATGAAAAGACATATCACAAACTAAGGCTAATCCTTCCCCCAAAAATGGATCCCAATTTGTTACTCTTTCCCAAGGACACACATATGTTATTTTAGCTATCCTCCATGTCTCCAAATTCCCTACTGACAGTTCCATAACATTAAATACACTCACATCTTTCCCATCCAAAAATGAATATCCTCCATATATGGAAACACACACACACACAGTATCTCAGGACTTCACATACTTTTGAGCTAATGCCTTTTACCCTCCCTTTGACTTCTCATTTGGTCTTCAACCCACTTCAGTGAGGTTTCTAGCCCCACCACTAGACCAAGGCCTCTCTAACCAATATCATCTACGACTTAGCTGTCTTTAAATAAATATTATGCATGTTTTGGTTCTGAATGTGCTTAACTCTATTGAAGTACTTCAAAGCACAAAAACTTTTTTCTTGAAAAGATTTCTACTCTAGGACTTAAACACTTCGACTTCAGAAATGCAATTACAACTGAAATAGATCTATGTAACAAAACAGCATATATTAAATAGGATGAGGTATTTATTCATTCACCCATTTATTCCATAAGTATTTATTGAACATATGCAATAGCACAAGAACTGGATTAGTTGATCAGATTACAACTTATGCTTATGACAAATGCAAAAATTATTAAATCATAATCATGGTGTAAGTGGAAAAAATGAAAATAGAGCCTAATACAAGACTACATAACTGAACTAATTATTTTGAGGAACCATACAGGGCTTCTCAGAGCCCTGGAGGAGGTGCCAGAGTTAATTCAGTAAAGGAAGGAACATGAACAACATGAACAGAGGTTTTGAGGGGAAGTTAGCTAGAGGAGCTAGAGGAACTGAAAGCAGGCCAGTAACATTGGGATATATAAGCAAGAAGATTGACTTGAGATGAGACTGGAGAATTAGGTAGTGTCTTGTTTATTCAGAGTCTTGTAGAGCTAGTGATTTGGTACTTTATAGTATGAAGTTGCAATAAAACTGTGAGTTAAGAATAATGGGAGTTCTCCTTTGGAAGGGAAGACTAAAGAGATTCACTGTCTTTGTGACATTGAAGGTGGTCCTTACAGATTTTTGCAGGCAGAAAAGGGTGATAATTGATGTCATTCCAGGACACAGAAGTGTCATAAGCAAAGAAATCAAGAAGAAAAGGGTAATAATTGCTTAGTGGAAGTATGATCTCATACTCTTTAAAACTGGTATTCTGCCAATGGGACATTATAACCACTTTCTGTGTTCTGTACAGGAAAACATAATTAGTCTTTAGATTACACTTCTCTTTATTCTGGGAAAGATCTGAGCAGTGAGCTGTTAGTAACCAGATACAAAGCAAACACCTACCCATTCCTTTAGGAAAAAAATCCAAAATGAAAATATTTCAGATTATATGTTAAATGCTATTTTATAATTAAAATTGAATGCATACCAGACTTTTCACCACTTCACCTAATACCAGAGATGAGTCCTCACTAACATCTGGATGACAAGTGATCCAATTACTGTTTTAGACCTTGCTTCCCGGGACCATTTTAATACCAACTGTCTTGGGTGAGGTTTTCATAGAGCACATGCCAAACCAAAGCTTAAGGTGTGAGTGATACATTAAGGAAGTGTTCTCAGGAGAAACCAGTTGGAGACTGGGGGGACTTGAACAAGGAAGGAGAGGAAGCCAGGGAAGCCTGTAATTTCAAGTTAGGTCCCAGACTCAGCCTGATCCTGCAAGGAGCCCTGGAGAATAAATTTTCCTTATACATCAAAGCAAAGAGCTGGGTTTTGTACTTTCCTGTTCAGTGGAGGAGTGAACCTAAAACTCCTAGCATTTTTATTTATTTTTATAAGAGATTGAACAGCATTTTAGGGTAAAATCTAACACTAGATACTAGTTGCTGGCCCAAATGTTATTTCCATAAAATAGAATCCCATATAATAAAAAGTCCTTCCAAATTGTATTCAACTTTCAAGCTCGGGTAGCCGATTGACCATACATATGTGTATTTTCCCTTTTAAATTTCTATTACTATGACAACAAAAGAGTACATGTGACAAATTTTTAATGATACAAAGGCTAAGAGAATGGGCTATTGGTTAAGCAGAATTTTTTATAATTTTCTGGGATACAGCAAGCTGATAGATTTGTCATTAAATATACACCTGAGTTGAATTCCAAATATGTACTGAAGAAAACAAAAAATGTGTGGTTTATTCTGCCAGGTGGAAGAATGGGGATTCTTCAAGCTTAGAGTTTGTAGACAAGTTTTAGGAGAATTATTAATCAAGGACACTTCATGGAAAACCTGATTCAATTAATCCCATCCCTACTTGGCTCATCTGCCCACAAGCAAAGGCCATTTACAAGACTGTTTGCATTTAAGCAAAGAAAGAAAGAAAAAGAAAGAAAGAAAGGTTCTTTCTGAATAGATTGCATAATTTGTCTTAGAAGGGCTAGTTCTAAAAGTGGTGGAAATGTCAAAGAAAAAAGGGATATGTGTCTATAAATTAAATTCCAAATTTCTAAATCTCTTTTTTAGAGAGTCCATATATACTGTCACAAGTAGCTAAATCAACAGTTAGAGGTGAAATCACTTCAAAAATTTATTTAACAAAGTGGAACTTACCTATAAGTCATTAGGAGAAAGAGAGAGACAGAGAAAGAGAGTGAGGAAGAGAATTTACTATCAATCCATAAATAGTGCATAGTACTAAAGAGTACTTCCCCAAGTGAGTATTTAAAGCCAGACAGAAAATTGTTTCTCTCTCATTGTCAGTTCCCTTGTGACTCTCGTGTCTCCCTATCCTTTGTGAGTCCAGTATTTACAGGAGATGTAATTTGTAATTAAAATAAATGGAACCCAGATAAAAACCACCTACTTGATATGCTGCTTTTTTCCAGGGAAACCAGTATTTTCCAAAGCAGAGGGGGACGAAAAAGGCCATTATGAAATATCTAAAAATTTTAATTATGGTCTCTTAAATGTTAATTACTCTAGAGAGTTGGCAAGAAAAATTTTGACTATATGAAACTTTTATCTAGGATGGTTTAACACTTTCCTCAAGATTCTAACAATACCACTGTATTAAGTATATTGTTTAAGGTATTCTGTGATGATGGAAATGTTTTATTGCTGGCTTTCCAGTTGGATAGCATCTTGCCATATATGGCTAGTGAGCACTTGAAATAAGGCTATTGTGACTAGGAAGTTGAATTTTAACAAAATGAATTTGAACTGATGTGAGTTTAAATAGCTATATGTGACTAGTGACTACTGTGTTGGGTAGGTGGTTTTAGAATACTAAAAAGTGAATGCTGATATAATAAAAATGACTACATTTAAGAATTAAAAAGAGTATATGAGATGGGAAAAGAAACTTACTTTTTCCTTTAATATCATTCGGTACTTTTCCAGCATTCAAATTTATTTTCTGTTATAATATCTTATAAATAAAGCATGCATTTTCTAAATTTCTCCACGTGAGACACTTTTCACACATTATCTCTTTGATCACCTAGACAATATGTATGATTTATATTGTTACTTCTATCTCACGTATAAATGTGCTTAATAACTTTAACCTTAGGCAGGCACTTTTGGAACTGGAGCAGATGATACTACCTAATGAAATATCTGGCACATGGGAATTATTCAGAAATTGGCTTTTGTGAATGAGTGAATGATATATGATATAAAGAAGTTTGCATTTGGAGGG